GGTACGGGCGCGACACTGAGGGTTGCGATCCGTTGCCAGATACGAAAAAAGACAAAAAGGAAAAAAAATAAAAAATAAAAATAAAAAGGAAAAGGTGAATGTGGTAGGGGTAGTGGGGAAAATATAGAAATAGACCAAAAAGATGGAGACCTAACCCCGGTGGAATTCTATGAAGATTATTAAAATTTTCACTTGGTATCATTAGTAAAGGAAGAAGTTATTAAAAATCAGCATAAATTCAGTGAGAGCAAACCAAATGATCTCATTTTCTATTTTGATAACCTTATTAGGCAAGGAGTGAACATGGTGTAAAAAGATAAGACTATGTGACATTGGTCATGGTACAGATAAGGAAATAGTTAAGTGATTAAACATCTACACTCAAATAATTTAAATATTGGATTTAAAATATCTCTTTAGGTTAGAAGTCATAGTGATTGCCCACAGCATGCTAGCTGCGGTCCCGGCCTTTGGAAGACACTTATTTACAGGAATTATAGAAAGTATGATAATTAAATGTGAAGACTTGAAGCCAGAAAGAACAGTTAGCATGCCAGATAAAAATTATAATTTGAAAATCCTTCAACCAGCTATTTAAAATAGTCCAAAACTAATACATTCATATTAATCATAATTAATTACGAAGCATCAGGGATAAGATCGTGTCCCTCTAGTTCCTCACTCTTTGGCCCTAAACTTTATATCAAACAGAAATATTGACTGGTCCATCTTTTAAAACAAACTTTTGATGATCCCAAACGTGATTCTGGAATTCTGTGGTCCTTCACAACATAAATTTCATGAACATCTACATTAAAACCAAATGTATTGTCTATAATTTAAAGGATTTAGCATCACTTCCTTCACACACACACATATCCACACGTACACACTTCCACTAATCAGGGGTGGCTACGACAGATTGCTCGACCTTTGTATATCCACACCCTGCATGGAATAATGAATGCACGTTCCCTAATCTCCACAGATGTGTGTCCAAGAGGGACTAGACTAGCCATATGTGCTTTCCTGATTATATGCATCTTCCAGTGAACTCCAAATTCTAGGACATGTACTCAAGGGTATTCATAAGCTGGCAGAACTACCTGGAGGCTTTGGGTTTTAAACAACTGTCCACATTTTCAGCCACATAGAATGATAATTCATTTTCTTTGATACTTTTTCCCAAAATGATTTAAATAGTTGTCATTCTTTTATCCTCTTCCAAATTAAAAAAGTACAGTTTTCTTAAAGAACTATGATGAATGAGGGGTGAATTTTTAACACCATGTGCTAATAATTTCTAGACGCTCCAAAGACCTTGTTTTATTTGGATTCACATTAAACAATGATGTTTTAATAAATGACAATAGCAAGTCTCCAATATAGAGCAAAAGGCATATTTAATGTACACTGAATATGGACTTGCTTCTTACAATAAAACCCTTTAGGCATATACATTATTTCTTTTGAATAAGCCTTATAAGCTTGATGACTGGGGAGTTTCACATTTAATCATCTTTTGAATATTTACTGGTGATTTCAATTACCATCACCTGATTCAGTGAAACAAATATTTTGACTGACTTATTTACTAGATTCAAAAAATATTTTCTATCACATATAAATAGCCTTTTACAGCCAGATAGTGACCTCATGTCATTACTTTATTACTATTAAAAATTACTAAACATATTCAGATACTTTGACTATGATTATTTTGTATTTAAGATACTCATATTAATAAAAATGTTTAGTAAAGTAGCTATACCCCATATAACTATGTGCCTACTATACTATATGTTTAGTACATAGATATACGAAAGATATATTTATCTCAACAAATATTTGATTACCCATTATGTTTCAATGATCTGTGGGAATAAGATGTACTATGTGAAATAAAAAGATGAATAAAAAGCCTACTAAGAGACTGCAACATAGGAAGCTAAGTGGAGAAAATATCTATAACGTGAAGGAGAATTTGCTAAACAGGAAATAACAAATGTCAGCATAGCAGAGTGCTTATGATCATGGTATTTGAATTCAGACAGCACTGGTCTGAATCCCTGCTTTATCATTTACCTAATTTTATACCTTAAATCTCAGTCACTTCATCATCTATAAAATGCATCAGGGTTAAGGAAGAGCGTGTTTTAAAATTATGGCAGTGGCCTGAAATATAGTAAGGACTCAAAAGTTATGTTATCATTAGTACCACATAATAGATAATATATCGTAGGCCATTGGGGGGAAAAAAAGAAAGAAAGAGGATGGGGAAGGGAGAGGGAATGGGAGAGAGGAAAGGAAGACAGTGAGGGAAAAAGAGGGAGGAAGGAAGAGAGGGAGAGATCACATTGCATACTGGTTAGGAAAGAAGGAAGGGTCGAGGAAATCCTTATGAAGTAGAGTCATTTGAGAAGTCTTTGAAGGACGCATAGTAGGATTTTTCAAAGCGGAGATAGGGAGGAAGGGTATTTTAGACACAGGACCCAACATAACATTAGGCCTCCGACAGGTCAGTTGAAAAGTGTGTCCAGTGTAGCTGAAGTGCATCATGTTTGGAAATGAGAGATAAGATAGAAAAGACATGTTGGTAGAAAGCCTCAAATGCCAGCCGGGTGAACTTGACTTCATTCAAGAGATTTAAGTACATATTTTTGAGTAAATTAGTGAGAAATTTAGTCTGTGTCTTACAGCCTAGATTCAGATGGCAACATTGCATATGGTAGAGTGGGAGAGGAAAATGTGAGGGCGAAATATATCAAGCAGGCCCTGACAACTATGAAAAATAATGGGAAATTAATTAATAATGGTTAAAGATGGTAGCAGACAGAAAAAGAAGATTCAAAAGATATTGCAGATCCAGAACTCAGAAAATTTGGCAACATGATCCAGATGAGATATTGGAGCAGGGAGAAATTGGAGTGAAGCATAACTCTGAAATTCCAAGCCTCCATTATTGGAAAAATCCTAATGTTATTTACAAAACTAAGGAAATATGAAGGAAGATCTAGTTCTGTGTTGTTAATGGTAAGTTCAGTGGGTGGTGAGTTTGCAGTACCCATTTCTAGTGATAGTGCTTTCATGTAGCTGATGAATGTAGATCTCGAGTTTGTGAGAACAATTCAGAATGCAGATATTGATTAGGACATCAAGGACCCACCTACAAACAGACTGAAGTATAGTTGAAATTATAACTTCAACACATTGAAAAGAAAATAGGGAACACAGTATTGGAAGTCTTCTATCATCATACCACTTGAGAGATATTCAAATGTATGTATGTGTATACAAATGTATAAATAATGTAAAGTTTGTCTCAGCATGAAAGCTCATGGTAGTGAGCACATTGTCATTTACAGCTCAAATAGAAAAAAAAAAGTAAAGCAGAGTAACCAAGGTCATAAAAAAGAAGAGCAGAAAATAAAATACCAAAAAGAATATAGAAAAACGGCTTTAAGTAAGAGTCAGACCTCCTTGAACATGGACCTTGAATTCAAACAAAAGATTCTCATTTTAAAAGTTAAAAACAAAAGCAGAAAATCTTGACAGCATACTAATTTGACAAACATTGTTACATTCTTCTGTTGTGTTTTATGAAACAAAGTGTTTCTTATTGTTGATGAAACATCGTCTGTGCTTCACATATTAAGCACATTTCCAATTAATGTGAATCACAAAGCAATGTGTAACCAACCGCATGAAAGATCTTCAGTGGTGAATGAAGAAAATTCTAGTTCTTTAAAAGTAAAAAGCATCTGATTTAACTATTGGATCAGCCTAATTAACATAAATTAGAATTTTTAAATAATGAAATATAAATATACTCTTCAAGACATGACAGGTGAGTATGCTATCAAAGCACTTTTCTAAATGAAAATCTAGAATCCAAATACAGTGATGTAAATGCATAGCATTC